GTACCTGTACCGTGACTATGCCCTTGGGGCCAGGCCCTGTGCTATGCAGAGATCTTCCCACAGTTTCCTCATCTGCACACAGGGATGATGGCTCCCACTCTGCGTCATGTGGGTGACAGGTGGACTCCCCTCGCCCCCCTTTGCAGGCGCCCAAAGGCCCCGAGCCAGAGTGCGCTGAGTGGCTCCTTGGGGGGCAGAGCGGGAAGCTCTGGTCTGCAGTGTAAACCGCGCCCCACCCCCACCCCCGCCCCAGCCCGTCTCAGGCTCCCCGAGGGCTGGGCCGGGCGCAGGCAGAGCAGGGGAGAGGCACACACTAGCCCGCCTCGCCTCCCTCGACAGCGTCTCCCCTACACGCCCATAATACACACAGCGGTGAAGTGAACAGGAAATGATGATTGGGCTTAATTGCCATTTATTCAAATGTGGGTTTAAATACGTTCATTTTTAAATTAGCAACCGGCTCACAAGATTCCTGCGCATCTAATAACGGCTCTTGCACGGCCCAGGGCCGTCGGCGTGGTTAGGGCGCTCGCATTTATCAGGGGAGACTGTGGGTCCGCGCTTACGACCACAGGCCCAGGAGCCAGGCTGTCTGGGTTCAGACCCCGCTCTGCCACTCCCAGCTGTGTGACCTCAGACTAGTGTCTTCACCCCTCTCTGCCTGTTCCCGCGCCCGTGGCACCCGTCCAGGACCTGCCTCGTAATGTGCGAGGCACGAACGCCTCGGCCCGGGCGCAGGAAGGACTAGGTGGATGTCGCAGGGTTGGAAGCGTCAGCCCCAGGACCCCACACCGGGAGTCCACGGGACACGGCCCTTAGGTGCTCAGAGACACGCACTGCCATCTACACGTCCCGGGATCTGGCAAGGAGCAGCCTCTCCCTGTCACGCTGGCTGTGGGTCCTTCAGACACGTGTCCGGCTGCTCTGCCCTGGGCCCTCCATTTCAGACCCTCCCTGCGGTCTTCATCCAGCCCCTCCTCAGCCCAACAGACCCATCCCCAGGCCCCTCGTCTAAGCCCTAACGTTAGCTCTGAAATTATCCCTCCTGTGTGGGGTGGACACGGTCAGGGTCCCCGACAGCCGGGTCCACGGAGGCTCCAACTAGTCCGGACCTGCCCAGCCTCACTAGGGAACCTTGAGCAGGCAACTCCCATGCAGGCCTCGGTTTCCCCATCTGCTAAGTGGGTTTCCAGCGCCCTGCTTTTCCCAGTCTGAAGGCTGTGATAACCCAGGCTGACCCCACAAGCATTTGGAGAGACCCAGAAATGCAGTCAGTGTAGTACTGAGTGCTAAAGTGACACCGTTGCAAAGTACAAAGTCCTGTCACAGGCAGAGACCCCCCAAATCCCCACCTGTCCTCCACCCCTCCCCCCGCCAGCCCCTGCAGAGCCAGGCCTAAAGGGGCATCCTGGGTGACCCACCAGCCACTGCCCAAGGGAAGGGAGGGGCCTTGTGCCTCGGTTTCCCCCTTTTGGGTGCTGCCGCAGAGGCCAAACACGATCCCCCAGGCGAGGGTGCACTCAGGCACCCGGTATTCAGTAGGCAGTCAACAAAGAGCGGCTCAGTATCCCCAGCCAGAGGGGCCTTCTGGAGCACCTGGCCGGCCCGTCTGGGCACAGCAGGGACGTTCAGGTGGCCGAGAGCGAGGGAGAGGAGCTCACGAGGAGGCACCCAAGGCCGGAGACAGCGCGCAGCGGGCCCGGACAGGGAGGGGCGAGGCACGGTGGGGGGGGGGGGGGCTCTTACCGAGGTGGGCGTTCCCTTTGCGGTAGTTGCCTGTCACGTGGGTGCAGCTGCTACCGTCCCCCTGGCAGACGCCGCACTTGTCCAGCGTGTGGGTGGAGAAGAGCACCCCGTCACAGCCGATGGGCTGCAGGAAGGGAGGCGGAGAGGGCCGCTGGGAGGGCGCTGCGACCCGGGCCCCCGGGGCCGCCACTGCCACAGGAGGACAGGCGGGGCGGTCAGCGCAGTGAGACCAGTGGTACTTTTGCTACAATGTTTAACAACCTCACATTTTCCAGACACGCAAACCCCTCGCAGGTCGGTGAGCTTGCAGGACGTGCCGTCGCGGGCCGGGACCATGAGCTGCCGCTGACCGTCCACGGTGGTGCAGTGCAGGTCGCACGGCTTGCTGGAGATGTGGACGTAGTCGTCTGACGGGGAGACGGAGGGTCTCAGGGTGGGGGGGGGGGGGGGGGATTCAGGAACTTCCTGTTCCTCCCGCCGA